ATTAGAGACCATTTGATCTTATTACTTGATTGGGACAAAAATAAGATCTTGATTTTGAACTTTGCCTGACTAGGATGATAAAAGAGAAAAACTTCAGCTTAAATAAATAGTAGCTTTTTTATTATTTAAGGACTTGTTACTCATATCTTATTGGCCTCATAGAACTTGATTTATAGATTAATCTAATAAAGAAATGGATAAAACTAGGGCACCAATCAAATCTTTCAATCATTAATAATATTATTGAAACATATAGATATAATTCATAAAAGCTTTTTTGTATTCTATTACTAATGCATTTTATATTAACCAATTAGAAGTCAAGTGACATTGTGCTATTAAAAATTTCAGATCAAATTGAGATAGGCAAAATCTCCTAAGAAAATTATGAAAAATAGTAGATACTCTAAGAAAGTACAAGACAGTATATGAGAAGGTGGATAATAAACCTTTCCTTATCAATAAAATCTTTATGTTTGTTACTTCCAACTCTATAAAGTGACATTTTACTTGTTAGTCCTTTTACTTCCTTATGCATATTTTTTTCTTCTATTTGATATTAATAAAAAAGAAAAGACTTTAAAGACCTTATATAACACAAATCTCAATAAGTTATATCATATTATAAGCACATGCAATTTTTTGTCACTTTTCAAAAATTACTTTATAGCTTTAAAAATAAAATAATATTGAAATTATATTGCCAAAATTATAATAACTTATAAATTAAATTTTTGATTAGCTAAATTAATAAGTATTTTATTGATAAATTTTATTTTAATATACATATTATTACTTTGAATATTTTTGAAGTTTTTTATTATTAAAATTAATAAAATTATTTTTGTTTTACAAATTTTTGAAAATTTTTAAAATATTTCAAAGAATTTTTCAAAAATTTTCTAATAGGCAAAAAAGTTTTAAAATGAAAAAAAAATCAAGAGTAAAGTATTAAAAACTTATTATTTAAAATAAAAGTGTTTATATATTTTGTATAGTAGAAAGATAGATAAATATAAGTTTAAATTCTAAAAAAAATTTTTATTTATAGTTATTGCTTTCTTACAATTACTTATTTTTTAAACTTTTTAAAGAATTTTTTTATCTAAATTGATTCTAAATTTTGGAGTAACACAAATTTTACTAAAAATAATTGGTCAATATAAAATATGTTAATAAATAAGCTTTTGCTAATTTTATTATATATTTGATAATATTATTGATAAGAAAAAAAAGAAGCTATTAGTGTAAAATTTTTTTTTCCTTTAAGTTAGAAATAACTGATACAAAAAACTTATAAGTTTATTGAAATAGGTACTAATTCCTAAATAATAAAAAGACAATAATTTATTTAAACTAAGATTTTTATTTTACAATTATTCTGATTAAATAAAATATATAAAAAAGATTGTTTTTTTTATTTCAGTCAAACAATAAGTCTGAAAAGTAGAAGATTATAAGTTACTTCTCTTTATAAGAAGAAAGATATCCAATAAGATATTGGATTAAAATAAATAATAAATATCTCAAATAGTCATAAAAATAATCAAGGTCTTGAATAAATAAGTTTCTTAAATAATTAAAAAATATATATATTTTTTAATAAAGTTGATTTTAATGAAAAGAGATTTTTAGCTAAAGTCTTTTGAAAAACATGAAACTTTATAAAATCTTTTTCTTTTTTTTCTTTTTTATATAATATACTTATATAATTTTAAATTCATCTTTTTTAAAAAAAATTTTTTTCCTTGAAAGATAATATGCAATGACAATTTGCTAGCAATAATAGACAAATTTTATTAAAAATTTGTATGGAGTTTCTAAGATTGCACTTAGAAACTAAAGTTTTTTGAAAATTGATAATTGTTGATGAGTTAGTACAAGATTTAATTTAACTATTGATATATGCCCAATATATCTTTATAACGATTAATAAATACACGGCACTGGCCTGACCACGGGTTAAAAAAAAAAAAGAATTCATATACAGTAACAAAATTATACAATGTACTGTATAAATGAAATAAATTATTTGCTTAATTGATTCTCTTACCAATATTGAAGATCGTTTTCCTTAATATAGATTATGCACTCACGCACGTGTATTAACTAAAAATCGATGTTAAAGCAGTAGTGATGCAGGAAGGTTGTATATAAGTGCCTGTCCATAAAATGAACGTACCAAATACCGTACCTTCGAACATTGGTTTGTCCATTTCTACCCAGTACCTTCCTAAGCTTAAGCGAGTTAAGCCCATTGAAACGTGTGACAGCTGTAAACAACGCAAAGTAAAATGCGACAAAAAACGTCCTCAATGTGAAACCTGTCAAAAGTCAAACCGGAAATGCACTTATAATTTTTCGGCGTCTTCAAAGCGCGGTCGGCCCAAAAGTGAAATCGAAATTTTACAAGAACAAATTGAGGACATTCAAACGATACAATTTCAGCAGTTTGGTCAAATAGAAACTCTTTTTGAAATGGCAGTACTAAATGAGTCGGCGACTTCCTTCCACAAGGATTTTTTGAATCAGCATATGACGGAGCAAGATCAGGATAATCCTTTGAATAATGATGGGGTTTATGTAAGCTTAATCATTTTCATATTTGCGACAATTTTTTATGTAATTCTTCGATTTATATTCCTTTGATTATTAGGAATGGAATGAGATTCATTCTTTCTCAGATATAGACCAAAACACTTCAACGAGCCTAAATCAGGTACATTCGGAAGAGACGCTAAACTCCTTTATGGAATTTTCCTCAAAAGTTCCAAAAAGAACTTTATCAACACAGGTACAGTTTAGATACTAATGGATATGAACTTTCACAGAATTCTATATATATTTCTCACACTAACAAATTTATTAATAGATTCAAGATCCTATGGACCAGCTAGTAGAGCAATTTAACAATGATTTAAATCTGGAGTCTACGCGATATGTTGGTGCTGATTCTTTGTTATTGATGGACAATCATGAAGAACAAATTATCCCCCAAAAGCAAGATGATTTGTCTTCGGTTGAATCATATCTAAAAGTTTTACCAAACCCGGAAATTGTAGACGGCCTGATTGATATATACTTCCAGGCAGGTCAAAAAACCTATTAAATCTAGTTTCGATCTGCAGCTCGTTGTAATTGTTGCCCATCTCATATTGCAGAAAATTTATCGTCATTATCCCCATCTGCGAAAGAACGTTGTACTCGACTGTCTTAAAGATTTATCGAGGCCACAACACTTTCTTTTGCTAAATTGCATATTTTTTGCCGCATCTCCATTCCACCCAGACGAAAAAGTGCGTGATGGCAGGATCTATCATCAGGTACAAAGTTAGGCATACAATTAACAGATGCGGAAACAAAAACCTATCTTGCAAAACCATACTGCGTCAAAAGCATTCAATAATGCTAATAGAATTGTATTGTGATTAATATTTGTTTTATTCTGTGTTTTATTGGTGGTAGAGGGCACAAGGTAAAATTGATTCTTCTTAAAACATGAGAAATTCAATCTCCATATTTGGTGCTTAATGTATGCTCTTTTACTTTTAAATAAGCATTGTTACAAAGGCATTGTCTTGTGAAGCCACATGTCTTGACTGTTATTAGTTTATTTATACTGGGACTCCACACAAGAAAGGTGAATGTTTCATAGGGATTGTTGTTCTCACGAACGCAAACTTTAATAGAAATTCTTCATTTATAGATGGGATTTGCATGGATCTTTCATGGCATGGCGACAAAAATGGCATTTGAGTTAGGCTTACATCGTAAAGTTAAGAACCTACCTGGCATGAACGACAAAATTAAAGAAATGAGAGATATGGCTTTCTGGGGTTGCTTTATAGCCGAGACGTAATTATTGGAATTTGTCCTGCGATACTTATATTTATTTTAAGAATTTCACTTATTTAAATTTTATGAAACCAGGTGGGTTTCAGCTTGTTACGGGCGTCCAAGCGCGATGGATGAGTCTGTTTGCGATGTCGATCTCCTGCCAATACCGTCAGATCCAAATTCCAACGAAGACTCTCGATTGAACATCGCCTGGGTTCTGCATATAAATTTATTACGTATTTTTTCTCATGTAAGATCGCTATTTATTATTTCGAACGATACATTTATAAAAACTAAGCCAACAATAATCCTCACAGGTAAAAAAATACTTGTCAAGCCGAAAAAAATTTCTAGAAAACCGACGAGAAGGTTCCCAATTTCGCTTTCTAGATGCTGCTTTAGGGAAGTGGTTTTATACTCTTCCTAATTGGTTGAAATTTGAAGAAATGGCACGAGATGTGAAAACTAGCTTTTTGGGTTCAATTGGAGGTGATGTTTAATGTCAGCAAATATACATATTTTTTATTTGGCATTAATTTATGACTTTCTTTTTTTTTATAGGAGAGATGCATGCCCTCTTTTGGACGGTACTGATTCTTCTCCACAGTCGAAACCTCACCATGTTTACCATAAATCCTGATAACGCCTTACCTCCAGCAAATAATTCTCATGAGGATTCATCTCGACTGACGTCCCAAACAATATGCATTCATGCTGCAACTATATTACTTCATCTGCTCGATGTACTCGTAAATTTAGTACCGGATTTCTATGAGCAATCATGTACTGCGCTCTTTTCATTTGCACCTGCCATACGAATATTATCATGGACAGCGCAGCAGGGGGACAAGAAGGCCGAAGATATGGTGAAAAGATTAAAGCAGATTAAGGAAGAAGTCATAGAAATTGCAAGGAGAAGGTTTGTTATACATGAAATGGGTGAGGGAAGATTAGATGGTGAGAAAAAGTTGCGAGAGGGGTATGTTAAGTTGGAAAATGAAGCAAAAACAAATTCAAAAAACGTGACGACAGAGACCAATCAATACAAGGATTATTCACAGGCCCAGAAAAGGTTCAGAAACAAAGAACGACAAAAGCAGAGGATGTCAATGTGGGGAGAAGATAGAGAAGATTTCACGTTTACCTTCTCTTTGGATAGCTATAATAACGAAAATTTGCGATCTAGCTCGTTTCCGTATGGTCAGAGTTTTACACAACCTGAGATATCAAGTTTTTCATACTATCCACAGACTACGCCAGAATCCATGTCATTTAATTCTTTAACAATGAAAACAGATCAGCAAGCGTTTTACAATACTCAACAAATTGAATTTTCAAATTTGCCAGAACCACCTAATCCTGATAATAATTTTTTCGGTTTTGGAACCTCTGATTCGAATTAAAAAATGCTTAAGAATTTTTTTAAACTAATGCTGATTCAACGTCAATCTTTTATATCAATTTTTATTGTTTCGGACTTGCATATTTCGGGATCAGAGATCAAGATAATTTAATAATTAAAAGTTGGTTATTAATGAGTAAACATAATTACATTCCTAGTACCGTATTAATGATTAATTCAAAATAGTTATTAATTTTAGAATATTTTAGTCATGATTGCTTTGGATACAGTATTATAATTAAAATACGAAGTTAATAGTTCGCTGGTTTTGTTTATTGAAGATTTTATTTTTTAGAAAAAGATATTGTAAATTTTCTTTAGTAAAGTTTTTTATTGTAAAGATTAAAAAAGAAATCTTGAAAATAAAATAAAAAATAAATATTCGTAAAAAATTTTTAAACAATTATAATTAAATGTCTAAAGTAAATCTTTTAATAAAAAAAAAAAGAATTAAAAGTAAAAGTAAAGTATACAGTATATACCATTGGCAATTACATGGATAATTCAATTTATATATAACAAGTATTTAAAAATCTAAAGTTATAATCTAATAAAAATTGAAAGTTTAATGTATAAATAAATGTTACAAAGTAAAAAACTATAAATAATATTATAAATAACTATGAAAAAACTATAAATATATAATAGAGTATAGAAAGTTTAAAGAGTTGATTAATTTAATATTAAAATAATATATTTAATATATATACTGTCGTGGGCTATCCCAGCAAGTCCGTCACTAATCCGTAACACCTCACATAACCCAGACTTTTCATGAATACTCACAAATGACACAAAGAAGAGAATGTCTCCTATAAAGAACACTTAGGGAAGGCAGAGATATGGTGATTAACTTGACCGAAGATAAGTGTCTCTTTATTGTGTTCTGTTTCTTTGGTATATCACTAACTCTTATCTTTATTCTCAATGAGGGCTGTTTTTCTTAACACATTCAGCTCTGCCTTTTTGATATACATTGGTAAGCTATTTATACTTTTCTAATTAACAATAGACTATCTACTTTATAATCAGCTATACTAACCCTAAGCTTTGCTAAACTTGCTATACATTTTCAGATACACATAGTTCTCTTATCAGTACCCAAGCCTTATTTATAGTTTTTTACCTTGCAACATTCAATCTTTCATGCCAGACTTTCAGGTTTTTGGATTTTAGATCATTACACATAAATTACATCACCCACATGACCCATAACAATATGTATATATATTTTTAAGTACCTATAACCAGGCTAAATTATCAGTTTATTAATCAATTGAAAACAAAAGTATATTTTTATTCGAGCAGCATTATATATACTATAGCAAAACTATTAGACCTGTGGATCTATAGCATAGTGGTAGTGCTCCCAGGTTGCAATCACAAGATTCTGAATTTAATACAACCTGAGGACCAAGTAAAAAATACCACACACAATGAAACGATTCTATTGGATAACAGATTAATACTTGTCATTGGGTGCAGTCCTGACTATCTTACCGATACCTGAAATAAAAGGATCTGCTATAATACAACATCATCTATAGCTAATCATTACCAGATTAGGCTGGTCTATGGATGTTGTAGATGATCAATATCTTATCATTACCATGATAAGGTGAAGGAGGATAAGTCTGATCTCATGGTCAACCAATACAGAAACTAAATTAAAGAAGACACTCTGTCGATCTTATCGATCAATAAGGAAGTTGTCAAGTTAAGAAGGCTGAAGTCCTGAAAAGAATAAACATTGTACTGATGGAATGTATAAAAACATGGTTAAACTTGCTTGTGACGAATCATTGGGAGACTTTGGTGAGAGAAGGAATCTGTGAACCACACTGAAGTCCCAAAACTGGGGACAGATTAAAGTATACACAATAGTCTGATAACTAGATTACTTTATAAAATTGTTCTAGAAAAAATTAAGAGAGCATCATATGATTTCCCTTAACAGGATTAGTTAGTATATATAGTATGTAATATATTTATCATATATAAATCCTCATATGTACAACATTATTTCGTAGTAAATAAAAACTACAGAAGAAGGTTCTAGGAAGTAAAAGGATTGACAAGTGAAGTGTCATTTTACAGAGCTAGAAGTAACAAGAAATAGAGATTTTGTTGACAGGGGAAAACTTATTATCCACCTTCTCACATACTGTCTTGTACTTTTTTTAAAGTGTCTACCATTTTCATGGTTTTCTTAAGGGATTTTGCCTACCTTAGTTTACCTTGAATTTTTGATAGCACAATGTCACCTGACATCTGATTGGTTGACATGAAACATATTAGTAACTGAATGTAAACAAGCTTTTATTGATTACCTCATATATTCCGATGACGTCATTGGTGATAGAAAGAGTTAATTGGTATCCTGTGTTTACTCTACTCCTCCAATTGGATTAACCTATAGATCAAGTTTCATGAGTCCAATAAGATACAAGCAACAAGTCCCCAGGTGGTGAAAAAGCTACTATTTGTTCAAGCTGAGATCTTTTTCTCCTATTATTCTGGTTAGGCAAAGTTCAAGATCAAGGTCTCCCTCATATTTTATCAAATATTTTTTTATAAATACTTAACTCTTTTCCATTGACTAATTTTAATAAAATATTTTTATTAAAGAAATTTTTTTAAAAATAGCAAGAGATAAAAGTTTTTATATTAAATCAATATAACAATAATATAATTAATATTACAATAGAAATTGGCTTTTCTTATAATGCCATATTCAAATATTCTGGTCCAATGGAATAGTTGTATCAGATCAAGAAACTCTTTTTTAAATATATTAAAAAGATTTATTTTATCTGTTTTAGTAACTTTAAATGACAAGTTCTTTCTTTTCAATCTAACTCAGGCTTATT